CCCCCCCCTGCTTTTTTAACTTCCACTTTTTCAGGCCGAAAATTTTGGTGAAGTGATGTGCGGTGCACGACGACGAGCGGCTCTAATGCGTGTATCGAATCTCCTGGACGCTGAATTGCAACGAATGTACTCACAAGGACGTGCTGATACCCAAATATGTAACACTAGGCAAATTGTAAGTAATTATCGGTATTTGACTCGTTTCGACAACGAATGACGCCAATGCTGCCCATTTTTAGACCCTCATAGAATTCATAGAGTATCTGTTTTACAAAGTGAATGATGCGATCAATTCGTTGGACGGTGGCCAACATCGTGGTTACCATCGATTAGTTCGATTTCAACATAAAACCAAAGACAAAGCGGTAAGTAGAATGTTGAATGGTAGGGGCAAAGGTAGTTGGAAGGGGTAGCAACTATGCCACGTCATCTATGCCTCTCTGTATTGCCTTGTAACGTCTTCTTTAAACTTCGGAAGAGCTAGATAGACCACCTCCCTTCCTACCTTTTGAGAGGACACAGACAAGCAGAGATGACGTAGCACAGCCGCGCCGCCGCATTCGCCTTCCCCTCCAACTATCTCCCTCTCTCTCTCTCTCTCTTCTCTTCGTCGTCATCGTCTCTCTCGATAATCTAGGCTAGTCAAATGAAAGTACGCGTTTCAGGGTTTGCCTACGACGGTGCTGACGATTCCGCTAGCTGGAGAGGACCAGTCTTTACCCCCTCCGTCCATCGTCTCCAATACTGCCGCCTATTCGATAACCTCACCACAGTCCAGTTGTGAAGAGTACGAGGAATACGATAAGGTATGGCTAATTTCGAGCAAAGTGCTCAGAGAAGCAGCAGCAGGACCAGGCCACGCCCTCAACTGAAAGTGCTGTGAACATTCGAAAAAAAATCAGTGGAAAAAGTTATAGAATTTAAAAAGAACATGCGGTAGACACAGTAAAAGTAGGCGGGGTGTCTGGCGGGGCGTTCGGGGTGCGGGGGGCATCATTTGCAGCAAGAAAAGAGGGTTTGAGAAAGCACTTTACGCCAGGTTGTGCCGCTTCGTGATACGCTCATTAGGCTCAGAAACATAACGTCCGAAGAGTTAGCTTTGAGCCGATGAGGGCGCAGACGAGCGAAAAGGGGCGTGGCACAATCTGGTCCACTGTCGTTCCAAACGCCTTAATCAGGGTTCAAGGTTCGTGGTGGCGCGCACCGTCGCACTACCGTGACAATCGCTTCTAATACCATAGACGCAACGCCAACGCAGCTATAGACGGGTATCGATCGGCGTCGTCTAGTGTTTCAGCAGAGTATAGGAGAATAGGAGGGTACAAGACATCGTGATCATTCGTCACAGAATAGAAAAGTCTGCGGTGCGGTCGCAAAACAGCGATGTTCACATGGTCTAGCACACTCCTATTCTCCTATACTCTCCCAGAACACTAGCGTTGGGTGCCAATCAATACCCGTTTGTGGCTGCGTTCCATTTTTTTAGCGTTGGAGCGCGATTGCAACGGTACTGCTCGACATCACACGTCATCGCGGAGTCTGAACGCACCTCCTAGCGCCGCTAATTCTCAAATACGACTGCCGTTTCTACAAGGTTACAGTCTTTCCAGATTTCCGACGAGGGCTTCTACAATTCGTCATCTCGTCAAACTACCGTAATTGATGAGCCTGCAACTCATTCGACGCTTTGTAGGGTGTTGTACGATTTTGAACCGAAACACGATGATGAAATACAGGTACGTTCAAACTAGGGCTCGCTCGCTCGCATCCCAGAAGAAATTAGGCGCTGTTCGGCTTGGGAGGGACATAGTGCGTTTTTGCTAGTTCTTTTTGCTAATTCCTGTTAATTGCGCATCACTTCTTGGTGAAACCTGTAAAACATAGTCAAGTGTAAACGAAGCCCCTACTACTGTAGAGCTTAGCAGAAATTACATTTTTCACAAGAGGCATCAATCAAGATCAATGGGTACAACAAAATGCCCCCACCAAGCCGAAGGCGTCAAAACATTTGAGAAAAAGGAAGAAGATGGCTTTCTATAAGATTTCTATCGGCTCAATTCCAGGTTCGGGCCGGTGAATGCGTTGTGGTTGAGGACCGGCTCGGTGATGATTGGCTTATCGGCCACGTGATCTCAGAAAATGGAGCCGACTATAAAACTGGGCGATTTCCCACTTCTTATGTGGCATTTTGAGCTGTGGTCGTCCAATCCTCATTTATGCCAGTTGTCCGACAGCTTTGAAGGAATTCTATGTTCATCGGATTCTGTTTCATTATCACCATGACCTTTTGAAACATGTGCGCCTGAAATCTTCTAGAACTGCTTCGCGCCAATCGAGTGGGCGGAGATTGACAACTATGATGCCTTTTTCATTGGCGGGCTCTCCTCTTCACAGCGTCATCAAAGGGAACGACCAATCAGTCTGGTCGCCTTGGACGCTCCAATGGACGGCTGTGAATTTTCGCTCCGCCTATCTGGCCACCGCGGAATGTGCCTTTAGGTCCTCACTGACCTTCTACCATAAATGACGGCCCAAGTTAGCTGTTTTTAGCGCTTTCCACCATGAGCATAACTACCCTGAGCTTTTTAACTATAAG